CATCAATGGCGATGAATACAATGGTGAGAAAATTAAGAGGGTGAAGGGGAGATTACAATGTCCTAGAATAAAAAGGAACAGATAGTTTCAAGAAACAGGGAATGATCAACAGAGTTAGACATCATAAATATATTTATTTCTAACACAAAATGGCAAAGATCGTTTGTGAATTTTTCCTGACATAGTTTACTTGAAGTGGTAGGGGGAAAAATCTGATGACTCTCCTATAGTGAAGAGTAAAAATCTGAATACAGTAGAGTAAAAAGTAAAAAATAATAATAATAATAATAAAATAAAGAAGGAACCGTAGCCAATAAAGACTGCTCTCCCAAGATTTTTGTATTTTTTTTTTTTTGGAAGAGAAAAAATATTGGTTTTGGAGTATTCTTTTAATGATAGAAGTTTGAGTATAGTTATAGGTTGTGAGGAAGAAGTTAGTGGGAACAAAATGTCAGAAAAGTAAACTAACAAGAGCCAGGCCCAGTAGAAGACTGAAGATAGGTCACCCTCTTGCCCACCACTATTAGAGGGATTAACTTTGAATATGAGGCATCTTCTTTTTTTAATTGTAGCCCTTTGAAAAGCCTAAAAATGCTTATGTGGACACCTTTCCAAAGAAGATAGATGGCAAAAAGCATATGAAAAGAAGCTCCATATCACATGTCATCAAGGAAATACAAATTAAAACAACAATAAGATTCTACTACACACCTATTAGAAAGGGCCAAAGTCCAGAATACTGGCAACACCAAGTGATGGCGAGGATGTGGAGCAACAGGAACTCTCATTCTTTATTGGTGGGAATGCAAAATGGTAGTTCGGTAGTTTCTTAACAAAATTAAACATACTTTTACCATATTATCTAGCAATCATGCTCCTTGGTACCTACCCTAAAAGAACTGAAAACTTATGTCCATCCAAAAATCTGCACATGCGTGTTTATAGCAGCTTGTTCCTAACTGTCAAAACTAGGAAGCAATCAAGTTGTCTTTCAGTAGGTAAGTAGCTAAGTAAACTGTGGTACAACCAGACAACGGAATATTATTCAGTACTAAAAAGAAATGAGCTATCCAGCCATGAAAAAGCATGGAGGGATCTTAAATGCATATTACTAAGTAAAAGAAGCCATTCTGAAAGTCTGCATACTGTAGGATTCCAACTATATGACATTCTAGAAAAGGCAAAAGTATGGAGACAGTAAAAAGATGAGTGGTTGCCAGAGGTTAGTGGGGCACAGAGGAGCTCTAGGGCAGTGAAAATACTCTCTATGATACTGTAATGTTGGATACATGCCCTATACAAACCCATTTGTATAGGGGTTTGTTCACTCACCATGAGTGAACCCTAATGTAAACTGTGGACTTTAGGTGATTGTGATATGCAAATGTAGGTTCATCAGTTGTACAAATGTACCACTCCAAGTGGGGGCTGTTAATAATGAGGGAGGCTGTGCATATTTGGGAGCGGGGAGGTATATGGAACTTTTCTATATTTTCTCTTAATTTTGTTTGTGAATCTCAAACTGCACTAAAAGAATAAAATCTTAATAAACATTTTTATATGAATAAATCTTATATATGATGTATCTCAAGATTATGAAATAAAAAGACACCTATCTCTACAGTGAAAACCCAAAGAAATCATAAAGCTCTTAATGGTGAAATTACATTTTTAAGGGTTGTTGTTATTGTTTTGATGATGGCACTAAGGAGTAGGGGAAGACTTCTTGGAGTCCTTAAAATCATATCAATTATATGATCACATGATATCCTTATATATAAAATCATTCCATACTAGGCCATTGACTAGCCAAAGTCCTGGTTTGTCATTTCCAATATTTTAGTCCTTCACTTTCTTTTAAACTCATACATTCAAAATCTCTCTGCCCCTGATACTAAGGAGAAAATCTGCCTCCTTTTAAATCCCTGGAAGATTCTCTGAAAGCAGTTTCAAATGCTAAGACTGACAAAAACACCAGGAAGTGATTGCATTGCCTGCTAACTGACCCAGATTCTGACCTTCAGATAATGCACTATAGGAACAAAGGTGATAAAGAATGTCTAATTCATAGATACATGATCTAGAAGTTAAGAGAGCATGCATCTATTAAAATTTGGCTCTTATTTGTGGTTAATGAAAGACAGAAAAGGCTGACTGCTTGTTTGATTCTTGGCCTCAGAAATTCTGTATCTCAGTGAACTTACCCTGGTCTTCTTAAGTCTAATTGTTCAGTGACCTCCTGACTCGTCACTTTTCTGATTTTTCTTCCCCAACCATCTCATTTTCCAATTTTTAGGAGCAATGATACTTTGGAGTTTAGGGTCCTTACTTTTTCTGCATATGTTGTAATAACCGTGAAGGTCTCTCACCTTAGAGTATAATTCAGAAAACCTGACTGATCTCAGATAGGCAACAGAAATGCAGGACTTAAAATGTTTTGTGAAAAGGTAAAAAATTCAGTATATTATTTTTTTTCAGTTTGTAAGAATGCAGACAATGGGAACCATGAGCCCAGTATAGTAGTATCAACCATAAAGTGTATAACAGTTTGAATACTAGCTGATCAAAAACTATTTCAAAATGGATTATAAGAGAATAACTTTCTGTGTTAAACAAACATATATGTAGCACCTACTATGTGCTAGGTGTTGTTCTTAGCACCTTTCAAATATTAACTTATTTAATCATCGTAGCTACAGAATGACGTATACTGTTATTATCACTATGCATGGGTTAACCGAGGCTAAGAGAGGTTAAACAATTTGCCCAAAGTTACATAGCTATTAAGCACCAACACCAAGATTCATACTCAGATAATTTGACTCTAAAAGATGGTTAACTTACAATATACTATGCTAAGTTTTGTTAAAACATGACAGAGTTCTTAAGAGAGTAGCACAAAAAAGACTTGAGAGGGGAGCCTCTTGAGGCTGGACTAGGGAGATCTCACTAAAGTTTTCACCTTTTTTAGGATGGTTTTATCTTTCAATATTTGATGGCAACACAAAATCCTGTTTAAAATCTGTCTAAAACTCTGCCCAACAATGACCAGAATCAAACCTTTCTCTGCTTCTATATTTAGTATAGCTGCAGGCTAGCGTGGCCGTGATGAGCATGGGGTGATGTGTGGAATTGTTGAATCACCATATTGTGCACCTGCAACTAATATAACACTGTATGTTAACTACACTGGAATTAAAATAAAATAAAGTAAAATAAAATAAAACAAAAAGAAAACAGCCATAACAAGAGATTAATAAAGATGGTGAAAGACCAGACAATCAGAGTTCCCCGGTAAATGATATCTATTGATTAAAACAAAATTAAAACATAAAAGATAAAAAACATAAAAACATAATTTATAATACCAAATATAAAAAAGGAAATTTTCTAGAGGAAAGAAAAATCCAAGAAACATAAAACATTAAGCTGATAAGTACACATATCTGATTCAATGCCTGACTAGTTTACCAGGTTCGTGAACCTTATTGTATCCAATATTTATTTCCTTAACCAGACTCTCATTCCAAAGAACTGCAAGCCTATCCTGCTACCTTACTGAAGGGTTAGATTGATGAGAACCAATTTATTCCTTCAATTTGTCAATTGTCTATTTATGGCCTCCTAAGAAAATAAAAATAAAAATTCTCCTCGATCACTTATCTAGGAAGTTCCACTCAGTTTCTGATACAGGTTTTGAGAAATACTTTCCTAGCCATTTGAAATACCACCATTTACCTAAGCTGTAGTATGCTGTTCACAATATAATATAATAATATACAGTAACCATGCAGGAAGGATTACATATATATAGTAACAGCAAAGTTTTCCTGTTAAAAACTCTTTACATAATTAGGTGAGAAATTATATTTCAGAATTTCCTTTTTCTATTTATTAACTTAAAATATGTTCCCAATGAAAAAAAATGTCAGGTAGTAATTTTCCAGGCTGCAACTTTCTGAAGAAAATGGTCACTCAGCATTTACAATCAGAAAACAAAACTTACATCTACTAATGAATGTGTTACATTTTTATTAAATGTATTCTATAAAAATATTTTATATTAAAGTCTGTAGTAATGCAGATAATTCTACAGACTGCATCAGTTAAAAGAAATGGGGCAGCACCATTGCCTCTAAGGAATATGTAATATTACATAATTCTCAATCTATTTTTGCCTTTATGGAATTACATAAGATAAGCAATAGTTTGGCACTAATTCATCAAACAGAAGGGCAAATTTTCACTGTAATATCTTATTTATATATTTAACAAGACTTTTATAGCTACCTAAGAGATGACATTTTACTTTTGCATAGCTTAGCAATGCATTAATAGATTCACTTTTACTTTTTAAATGTACAGATATTTCATAATACTTTATAATAAAAGAGTACAAATAATTTAAAATTCTCAGTGCACGCATTAAAATGACCTTCACATTTAAATTTAATATTCTATTGGTTCCAACCCAAAAATTGGAAAGTGAAAGGTGAAATGTGGAAAAACTCAAAACACTTTCCTTTAAAGACAAATGTCAAGGAAAACTAGAACTTTCCTGCAAAACAATAGCACAATGACTTTTTAAGTTCCATCTGGAAGCTCCCCTACACACTGAACTTCATGTTCCTAGATTGATGTGCCTTAAAATGGACAAGGGTGAAGCAAAGGACAAGTTTTGTTTATAAATTCTTAGGTAGCCTTAAACTGCTTTAACTTCCTAAAGACAGATTATGGTTTGGAAAAATTTCCAGGGCCTCACAGCAGTGCTGGGATTTGCATGTCCTGGATCAATGTGAATTTTGAGGAATAGGCACTTCCTTTGCAAGCAGATAAAAAGTAACTATGCTGAGAGAGAGAGAAACTTTTTCTTCACTGTTATCAAAGACAAATACACTGTTGCCACAGAATTTTGTATATCTAGTTTTTAAAACAATTTAGAATAAAGAAACCAAAGGGTTGAAAACAGGATTTCCAAATGCAAAATTGTACAGACTTACTGGTACATGCCATGGAAGGTGGGTCTTTTTCAGCTCGGAAGTAACCCTTTTCACACTGACAGACAGAAGTTGCTTCCATATAGGTGAAACTGTGGGGAGGGCATTTAGAACATTTTGTGTTCCCAGCAAATGCTTTATAGAATCCTGGTCTGCAAGCTGTAAAAAGAGGAAAATATTTTTATTGTTATTATTGCTTGCGTTATTTTATTTGTACACATACATGTTTTAATTGACACACATTTTGATCTCAAGAGTTCAGTGTTACACATATACAGAAAAGTCAATATATGTTAATATTAATAATGAAGTTAGTTATTCAAAATCAGTAACATAATGGTGACGTCATATTTAGGGTCAGGTTGCTATTTTGGAAAGCGTACCTGATACACATACACAAAATAATTGATTACCAGAGTGTGGGGATGCCGCTCAGTGGCAGTAAGGGGAATGATTTTGTGTAGTTCTAGGAGATAGCATTAAATAACATTGAATTACATTGTGTAAAATGTATTTGCATTCAATTTTTCCCTCAATCCTTCTGAGTACTAAAGGAGAAAGTCCCAGTGTGGGGCTGCTATTTCCTTTTTTTTTTTTTTAAAAGATTTTATTTATTTATTTGAGAGAGAGAATGAGATAGAGAGCTCGAGAGGGGGGAGGGTCAGAGGGAGAAGCAGACTCCCCGCTGAGCAGGGAGCCCGATGTGGGACTCGATCCTGGGACTCCAGGATCATGACCTGAGCCAAAGGTAGTCGCTTAACCAACTGAGCCACCTAGGCGCTCAGGGCTGGTATTTCTTAACACCTGTCCTATTGGTGAAATTTTTTTTTTTAAACAAAATGAAAGCTGGCTTTAGGTTCAGAGACTTTAGCAAGAATCTACCTATAGTTTACTTTACTTTTATCATTTTATTTTTATTTTTTATGGCAAGAATTTTTTTATTATATTTAAATACATTCATTTAAAATTTTTGAATTAATTTCAAAAGTGGGTAGACAAAATATTAAGTAAATAAGATATACATGCTATACACATACGGCAAGAACCATAAAAACTGTAAGCAAATAACCAAATTTTCACCAAAAAATCATGAAAATGAAATGTAAATAATAAAAGTTATGTGACGAAATGTTTTATTAGACCACATTTTCTTTTTGCTTAACCATATTGTCATTTATAGGGTACTTTTTCACAGGAATGGAAGATCTAGAAAAAAAGGATCCTATGCTAAGTATGCATCCAATGTCCTGAATGTTGAGGGGGTAGCTGTTTCTGGTCTCAAAGAAACCACTGCTGACCACTTTCTAAATTAACACTGATATACAAAATAAAGGAAGAATAATTTTCCAGTAACATATATTATGTTAAAAAATGTTTTAACAAACTACTTCTTTTAATCTAATACATTTTCACAAAATGCTCTATTTAAAAATACACAATAATTAACAATAATGGACAATAATCTCTTGATAAGGCTTCTGCTTATATATTCAGGAAAGAAAGAAAAAAATGCCCTTTTTAAAGGTAAATTTAATTCCTACCTAAATGAGTCCCAATAAAATAACCATTTGTCTTTCCCTAGGTACATATTTCAATGCATGTTCCTATAGATCTAAATGACTGCAATTCTACTGATACTAGTAGTATACTATACACCACTGACTCATCCTCTAGGAGGCGTAAACCATAAGAGGGGGCGTGCGCGTGTGCACATATGTAATTACTGGATTATTTTTGATAGTTTATGTTTGCTTTTATAATAATGCTTTATATAAATGACCTAGTAATTCAAGAGAAGTTATGATCAATTCTGTACAGTAAAATTACTTTTAAAAACCTGGTTATTCACTATCAATGAAGCTATTAATGGTGATCCATAAATATCAATCACAGTCTCTTTAACTTGCTGATAAATTAATTAGTACTATATGACTAATCAATAAAGATGCTGTATCATCAAAATAGTTCTTTAAGCCTGTCAAAATTCAGAGTATGTAAATAATATATACTCAACCCCAACATTTTCACAAATATTCTTTAAAAAATATGTAATTGCTAAATTTAATCTTATGATATAGTAGTTACAAGACAATGTATTATAAAATATTTACTAAATCTAGCTTATATATATTTTGTCAGTAATTATTTTCTACTTAATTATGAAGTTTAAAATAACTGAATATATTCCATAGAATACATGTGTAATACTTTGGCAAGTAATTGTAAGTGTTGAACCCAACTAGAAATTTAATCATATCTTTATCTCATCTATTACAATATTTATAAATCTAATAAACCACACAGTTTATAGAGAATGTGCAAATTTAAATGGGGAGTTTGCATTCTCCATATTCCAATATTATTTTAAATATAATTTAAATATTATTATAAGGGCCTTCTGAAATAAGACCATTCTGAAATAAATTAAATAGAAATGTGAACACTATAGGACTATACTAAAGTTTATTATATGTGCAGATACAAAACCTGTAAGACACATAAACAAGAGCTGTAAACTTTGTTTCCTTTCTGTTATCAGTCATTCAAATCTCAGTCATAAACACTGTTTAGCATATAAAGTAGCCTGCCAATAACTTCATTTCGTGCAGCAAAACACTGTTACCTTTATTTTCTCTGGTAACTAAAAACCAAAAATTTAAATAATTTCTTATCTGAAGTGTTTTCAGCTAATTTGTCACCTTCTCTTAGAATTGTAGAGTGCTTAAAGCAGCTCTTAAAATACTTAGAATAGCTTAGTGATAGTCAAACTCTTCTAGAGACCAGGCTGCTAAATGGTCTTAGCACCCAATATTGTCTACTTTATTCTGTAAACAGAAGGATCTTCTAAACCTGCTCTGTCCAATAGTACTAAAAATTAATATATATAATATATATAATTATATATATGTCATTTTAAATTTTGTAGGAGCCACATTAAAATAACTAAAAAGGTGAAATTTTAATAATATATTTTATTTAACACAATATATCCAAAATATTATCATTTCAACATAAAATCTAGCTCTTGAAATATTTTACATTTGGGTTTTTTTGTACTATTTTGTACTAATTTGATATGTATTTTACATTCACTGCACATCTCAATTCGAACTAGCCACATTTCAAGTGCCTACTCACCTCATGTGCCTATTAGCTACCACATTGGATCATGCAGTTTTGAACACAGAAATCTGTTCATTATATCTTCCTGTTGAAAAACTTCCCACCATCTTTGTGTTAGTTTAAAACGGATTGGATTATAAGTTTCCCTGTGGTTTGACTCTGTCTACAGCGCCAACCACATCACAGGAAGCTACTTCCCTCTCACACACACTCCCTTGATTAAGGCTTTGCCTTTCTACAGTCGATTCTCAACCCAGCAGGCAGTGATCTCCTCAGAACTTATATGAGATCACATTATCACTGGGCTTCGAGCGTCCAGTGGCTTTCCATTTCCCCTAGTCAAGCCATTGCCCTATTGTCTACTAGGCATCCCATGCTTTTGCTCCCTACCCATTTCCCATGACTCTGCTTTTCATCAGTTCTTTTTCCATCACGTACTCTGCTCCAGCCACACTGGCCTCCCTCAGAATCTTTCATGAAAGCATGCTCCTGCTACTGGGCCTTTAACACTTGCTCTTACTCGCCTATCTGTATGGTTTGCTCCCTCCCTGAGATCAGGTCTTTGTAACAATGTATTTGTATTAATGAAGCCTGATTCCCTTTTTAAAACTGCACCTCCTGCTACATCCTACCACAGTATTTTATATTACTCTCCACACTTTTTCCTATCTACAAAGAACCTAACATCTGACACATGCTATGTTTAATTTTTAAAGCTATTTCCTCCTAAAATGTATGCTCTGTTAGGGCAGAGATTTTTGTCTCTTTTGTTTACTGAGGTGTATCTCCAGGGGTTGGACCAGCACCAGGCATTATTTGGCCCTTCCTCAGTATTCAGTGAATGAATGAATGACTTGCTAAAGGTCTCCTTTAATTTCTATGAATCTACCATGATCTTTCTTCTGCTTGAACCTTAACTGTTGAAAATCTCTTTTCTCCATCCCACCCCATGACCCAATCATCTTGCTAACTCCTAGTCCTCTTTCAGGTCCCATTGCTTCCTGACTTTTTAGACTAGTTTAGTTTCTCCAAGCACCTGTGACTTCTCAACACTACCTGTTGGTTTGCAAACTAGCGCTGTGCATGGAAGGCAGCGGGAGACAGAAAAAGAGGCAGGCCACTCCAGATTGGTAGGTGGCAGGTTTCATAAACAAGGGAGATGACATATGAAGCTCGTTCTGGGCAGCTGAAAGACAAACAGCTCTCTGCACCTGCCCTCCAGAATCCTAAACGTTTATATAAAGGCCTTAAATGGGTTGAGTCACGTATACTCTCCAGATGATCTCAACACCACCTTACTCTCTCAAGGCTCTGTCCTTGAAAACAGCTCCCACTGTGGGAATGGTAGGCAGGTCATAGAGTCCAAGGACAGGAAAGGGGTTGAGGAGCCTCCAACTGCCCAGGTCCAGCTCAAGGGTTAACCAGCGGTGGTCACATGTTCTGTGTTACTTTTTCAGCAACACCTTGGCAATCACTTGTTTAATGGCTGTAAGTTCCTCAAGGGCAGGCTGGTAACAGTGATTATCATAAAGTAGGTGTTCAATACATATTTTTTTTCACTGAATTGGACAGAGTGTTAGTACTCTGCTAATTAAGTTCCTGCAGAAGGTTATGCATTTCTACTCAGTGTATATTCTGATCATAGCATAATTCATCTTATTATAAATTTATAGGTTTTGTTTTTGTCTTTGGCTTGCTAAATTACTGTAACTTAGGGATGGAAACAGTGAATAAAGATTTTGAAAGTGATTCAATTGCAACTCAAAACTAATTATTCTAATATCTCAAGGTGAGCTGGCTGCTAGGAAAAAAAAAAACAAAACCTTTCCAGTTGAAGTTATCTACATGATTTTGAATTTGAATATTTTGCCTACCACAAAAAATATAAATATGAATTGGATGTTGGTACTGCAACTCTCAACCTTATCTCTGATTTGAAATGTGTGTGTACACATCAAAACTTCCTTTAAAACTCTTAAAATGTTAAACTTATAAAACACATTTAGATTGTTAACATAATATCCTATTTTAATATT